AACATAGATCATAATTCAATTTTATAAAATTCAATTATATATCACTCTAGTCTTAATCAATGTTGGATATTCGAATCAGTCCCAAAAAGAAGTTCAACGTATATCACAAAATATCCCATCAAACATTATTTTCATATCAAATTCAAACAAATTTTTTTTCCCAAACTCATCGCAAGAAACACACTCTTAGGGTGTCAACATTCAATATAAATATTATTTTTTATATTATCAATATAATTATATATATCTGAAGTTAAAAAAAAAAAAAAAAAAGAAATCAAAATACCAATCAAATGAGTCTTTCAAACCTAATCCAAACTAAAAAGAAACAAACTTTGTTTTATATTTTATGGAATTCTTATTATTAATTATTGAAAATTGTAATTTTAGAGAATTATAATGCCATTTGGGTGATATAATTTTCATTATTTAAAAAATATTTTATAAGATAAGTATATTTTTATTTAGAAATATGGATATAAGTAATTTTTTTTTTTTATTATTATCAAAGATAATACGTGGTATAGAAAAACAAACTCTTATACATTATAATGTATAATAATTTTATCCATTAAAATTTTCATAATTAAAGACCAATATTAATTATATCCTTTAAAATTTTAAAGACTAAAATTAAAATAAATTTAATGGCTCTTTTAAAAAGTGTCAATAATGGTAGCATAGTTATCCTTCAAAAATTCCTTTAATTTATTCCATATTTGACTGATGTACGCATGCAGCTTAGCTTACACAGGAATTGGATTATTCATTATTCCTTCCTCCTGATCAACTCTGATACTCTCTCCGTCTCAAAACTATAATTTGAGTTGTGTTTGGCACGATATTTAAGAAATATTGATATTATATTGGTAATAGATAAAAAGTACAGGTAAAAGAATTTTTTACCCTTACGAGTGTAGTAGTGTAAAAAATAGTGGCAATTGTGTAATAATGATAATAAAGTAAGGATAGTTTTGGAGTGATATGATTATTTATGGAAATGAGACTATTGTTTTGGAATGAACAAAAATAGTAAATAAGACTATTGTATTGGGACAAAGGGAGTATTACTTTTTATTTTTTTTTATTTTTATACTATAATATAATATTGCCATCTACTTGCACTTTAATTTTGATCATCCATCATTATCTCAAAATAAGATTCAGAATATCAAATATTTCATAAATCTAATCAAATATTTCACAAATATATATTATATATACCTTTATTCTTGTTGGAGAATTTGCAATAATGCAGTTTTCTATTACAGTTTAGTGTTCTTGTCTTTAAAAGGAGAATAGTGACTCTAAATATACACACATATATAGACACTATGAGTGTGTGTTTTTTTTTTTTTTTTTTTTTTTAAATATTTAGATTGAAAAGATTTAGTTTGAATTTTGGATTTAAACAATGTCTGCTGTAATTCATTTGTAATTTTACGAAATTGTGCCAAATTTTTTATACTTCTAAACTGCATAAAACTCTCTAATGGTTTCATAAACTTTGCGTCTAACTACTTTAACTGTCGAATGAGTTCAAAATCTCCATTTCTAGACTCTTGAAATTAAAATATATTCATTCATCTTATATATAGTTAAGGGATAATATAATAAATTCTTAGAATCAAAGAAAAGTAACTATTTTTTTTTAATATATTTACTGTTCTCGGAGGATAAACATAAAAAGAATTAGTAATATATTTATATTTTCAAAAATTTAGAATTGGAGATTCTGGAACTCATTCGTAGTTTGGATACGTGCAAGTCAAATACCGTTAAATAAAAATGACAGAGAAAGTTAGATTCAAAGTTTATGAAACTATGAGTGAGTCTGAAGTAGTTTTGAAAATATAAAAATTTGGCTCAATTTTGCAAAATTACAAATGAATTTTATGGAATTTTGCCATTAAAAATATATATATTTTAAGGAAATATATAGTTCATATAGTGTAAAATTAAAAACCTTTGTCAAAGATTCATATTTTTTGTCCTTATTTTCATATGTTATGTAAATTTTAATAAAAGTGCCTACATGAAAACTCTTTTCTATTTATATTCAAATGATGTATTTATTCAAAATTATTATTGGATGAAGCATAAGTATTGTGCATATGTTTTTACACAAGTATACAAAATACTTTATATCATAAGTATGATGCATATGTTTTTACATAAGTATACAAAATACTTTATATCGGCAGGTTCGGGTACTGACTTAATCAAATAAATAAGGTATTGATTTGACTAAGTCAGCATACTAAACTCAACAATCCAGATCCAATCACAAGACAAATAATATAACGATGTGTTATATAAAAATATATTCCATCCGTCCCGAAATTAAGTATTCATTTGCTTTTTGAACGTAGTTTTAGAAATATTAGTATTATATTGTGATATAGTAGGAATAAAGTAGAAATGACTAAAATAACTTTATTAGTATGTTTGATATAAAGGTAATGATATTTGTGTAATATATTGTAAGTTGTAAGGGTATTTGTAATGTTAGGTAGAAAGTACAGTTACTAAAAAATAAAATGAATACTTTGTTATGGGACGGACTAAAATGGAAAAATGGATACTTTGTTATGGGACGGACTAAAATGGAAAAATGGATACTTTGTTATGGGAGAGAGGGAGTATATTGTACAGTTTATATATTGTATTGTACTGAAAATCAGTAGTATAAAAATATATCTTGTGTGGTTTATGTATTGTATTTTTTGTTTTGTATATTTTTATTAACTAAATCAAATTAGCATCACGTTGATTTGACTCAATTAGCATGAAAACTGAACTGACTTTACATAGTTATTGCATTATCTTCATTGTCTTAGAAAAAAGTAAAAAATAATAAAAAATGCATATATATATATATATAAAAAATGTTGTGCACAAATATATGTAGAAATGCCATGTATTATTTTAGCTAATACAGCAATGAATTAGTAGTAGAATTTATACATACATTGCATAACTTAAATTGATTATAGATATTGTAAGGGTGTGTTTGCTTGGGGGATTGGATTTAATTTACATTATTCATCCAATTTTTTTTCTTCAAAAATATCAAATCTAACACCTATTTTTCATTTTTTATATTATACTAAAAATCAATTTTACATTCAAAATATCACATCAACACCTATTTATATCACATCATACAACTATTCAAATTCAAAATTTTTACTATTCAAATTCCAACTCAAAATTCAAACTCCCAAACAAACACACCCTAGTATATTTTACTTTTAATTTTATTGCATGTAATACCCTCTTGTGTTATAAGATAAATAGGTTGACATATATAATGTGATATTCTTTCTGTTCTAATTGAAAAATATTATTTTTAATATTTTTATTCGTCTCCCATATAAGTATTTATTTTTTATTATATTAATCAAATTGTCCTTAACTTTTATATATATTATAGATATATTATTACACACATAATTTATTTATATATAAAGTACAAAAGACAAGAACATCAAAATTACTGTACACACTTTTATTAGCCAATAAATTATTATTTCCTCCGTCTAAGCTAATTATGCTACAATGTCCGTATGTAGAGAGTAAAAAATAATAATATTTTTATTATAAAATAAACAATTTAATATATATATTTTTTATTAATAATACAATTATGTACTCCCTCCGTCCAACTATAAAGTATGCATATTTCTATTTTGGGACGTCCAATTACAAAGTAACTATTTCATTAAATACCCCACTTTTCTCCACAAATACCCTTACTTTACATCACATCATTACTTTTATACCAAAAGGTAAGGGCAAAAATATCATTATACTACTTTTACCTATCCACTATAATTAAAATACTATTATTTTTTAAACTCCACGCCAAAAGTAAATGTATACTTTATCGTGGACGGAGGGAGTATATCAAATCTAACAAAATACATTCTCTCAACAACACAAAGTGAACAAACTCTTTAACATTTTTAATATGTGCTCAACAATTACATTAATATTACAAAAGAAATAACTCAATAGATTAAAATAAAATAATTAAAAATGTAGGTGGACAACAGTCTTTATTTTTATGTTAATTTTTTATTATTTTATTATGTGAAAATAATTATCTAATATAAAAATGTAGGATTTTTAAGGAAGAATAAAAAGATTATTTAGTACTTTGTTTTTTGAAAATATGTTTATTTATTTGGATTTCGCTTAAAAAATTTTAGTTTGGATACACTATTTTTTTATTTTTTTACAAAATACAACATCAAAATACTATTTAAATTAAAATTCAAATCAACACTTTAATTTCAGATAAAAACCAAACAAACATCACATGTTTTTATATAAAATTGTGAAATTGTATAATTAAACTACTATATTGTTGTAAATAATTTTCAATTTACAAATATTTATAATATGTTCATTTATTTATTTTCTTTTTCTTTTTTTTTAATATACATTTTTCATTTGAACAAGCAAAAATAAAGGTCGGTTATGGTGTTGATCGAGGTAAATCAACATCATACGGATTTGTTCGAATCAACACATAAAATTTTTACATTGAAATCAATTATGGTACTATGGTGTGTAGACTATTCTGATATATTTTTAGTTCATATATATATATAATATATATACTCCTTCAATTCTATACAATAGTCTTGTTTACCATTTTTATCTGTCACAAAACAATAGTCTCATTTACATAAATAACCATATCACCATAAATGTATTCCTACTTTTTTATTATTATTACACGATGGTCACGGTACAAAAAAAATCATTTATCTTTACTTTGTAGCAACTATCAATATAATATAAATATTGTGCCCCTGGAGTATATTTTTATACTTAAATACTTATCTTGTATTAATATAACCTTGTCATATTTAAAATCATAAAATATTTATATGTTTGTTTGTGGATTTTAGTTTTTTGTTTTATTCTTTTGAATAGTAAAAAATTAAATTTAAATAATCATTGCATAAAAAATATAAATGGTAAAAAACACGTAGTAAAACCTATAAGAGACTGGGGTTACAGTATTGATTTATATAATTAGCACTGTGCTATTACCAATTATATCTAACGATCAATTACAATATCGAACCTTAACTTCCACAACTTCAATTAGTTAACTAATTAATATATAATTATTTATTTGGAATTGGGGTTCTTATCGGAATATTCTAGAAGCTCCTCGAGCAGACTATCCTCATAATACTCCAGCTCGATTTTATCCTGCCCCCTCTCCCCGCCGGCGGCGGCCCCTCTATACCTCCCTCCGCCGCCGTGGAACGCCGCCGCCGGAGACCCGTACGGCGGCGGCACATCCAGCTGCGAATAATACTCGCCGGGGAAATTCAAGGTCGCCAGATGCCCCCTCAGATTGAACGCCGCCTGGTCGTAAGCACGCGCCGCCTCCTCCGCCGTGTCGTACGTCCCCAGCCAGAGGCGCGCGCCGCCCCTCGTCGGATCTCGAATCTCCGCCGCGAACTTCCCCCACGGCCGCCGCCGTACGCCGCGGAACCGTGTCTCCACCTCCTCCTCCTCCTTATTATTATTATTATTATTATTATTCTGCTGCGGCATTGCCGGCGATGACGATTTTCCAGAGTTCCTGGAGCTCGAAGACCCGGATCCTTCCATTACTGAGGTTTGTGAGTTTTTGAGTGTGGGGTTTCCAATGGCGTCTGAGGTATTATTTATATGAGGAGGGAGATGTACGGACGTCGCCATCGCCATGGGGAATTGTTGTAATAATCCGCAGAAACACAATGTACGCGGAGGAATTGTCGGAAGAAAAATTCGGGGTTGGGGGTTTGGGGGGTGCCGGGAGCGGAGGATCGGACGGCGGGGGAGGGCTAGGGTTGGGGAAACGGAGGGTGTGGATTTGGGAGGAGTTGAGGTCCCGGGAGCGGGTGGGTCCCGGCGGGTGGAGGCTGGGGAAATGAGTGTTGAATCAGTGTGGATAAGAAGAAGCTTGTTTGTCACCTGATTCTTTGTTCTGTTTTCATTTTTGCATTTTACGTAATGATTTGTTGTTAAGTTTATTTTCATGGAATGAATACTCACTTTAGGTCTGTTTGTTTGATATTTTTAAGTTTTGAACAAATTATATACAAAGAAATGTATCACTAATATGTATTAGAAGGAATTTTTGAGCGTTTATGTTGATTACATTTACCTTTTACTTCATTATACTTAATATTAAAAATATCTTTACATTTATACAAATGTCTTCCAATTAGTATTATAAGACACTAATGAAAATATTTTTGCATTTTTTTTTTAATTTGTACTACGTTTTGATATAATAATTAATATTTAAATAACAATATACAATTACTACGTTTTTAGTATTATTATTATTATTGAGTTTGAATAATAAATTTTAGAATATTTAATTTGTAGTTAAATGGTCGAAAATAATAAATTGAATCGGTTTTCAGCAGACCCAGAAAGTATATATTATCTATTTATGATTTTTTTTTTTAGTTTAATATCTATTGAGGTTATTTACTATATATGTTATTTCGATAATTAATGATACATTAATTAATAAATGAGAAAAAATCATTTTTGGTCCAGATATAACTTAAATTCATCAATTTTGATCTAAATATAAAAATTTTATCAATTTTAGTCCCAATATAATTAAAACTCATCATTTTTTGTCTCAATATAACTAAAACTCATCATTTTTTGTCATAATATAATTTTTTTAATCAATTTTACTCCCAATATAACCAAAACTCATCATTTTTTATCTCAATATAATAAAACCTTATCTTTTTTGCTCCAACCGTCAATGAACTGACGGAAAATGATGCAAGATTGTGCAATTTCTTCAAATATAAATATAAGGTTTGATTTCTTTTCACATCAGCATTTTCCGTCAGTTTGTTGACAGTGTGGGTAAAAAAAACAAGGTTTAATTATATTGAGACAAAAAAAGATAAGATTTGATTATATTGGGAGAAAAAATGATGAGTTTTGGTTATATTTGAACTAAAATTAATAAAATTATTATATTGATAAAAAAAATGATGAGTTTTGATTATATTGAAACCAAAATTGATAAGATTTTTATATTTGGACTAAAATTGATGAATTTTAGTTATATTGGAAAAAAAAAAAATCCCTTCATAAATTTACGAAGTTTTGCAAATATTGCTTTTCTATTTGATATTCTTTTTTTTTTAGTTTATTTTATTATGCAACTATCATAATTATATATATATAATAATTATTTCACCCTATCAATTACAAAATATCACATTTAAACTAAAAAATATGTATTGATTAACACTAATTAAATTCATACTAATTAACCTTAATCAACACACTATAACCACCTACTTATAATAATATATTGAATATTAAATATTACTTTAAAAATATAATCTATACTAAAAAAAAAATTCTCTCTCTCTCAATGCATGGAGGTGTTTATGAAATTAATTTTTTTGATGAATATTTTTTTTTTAATTCTTTTTTTTAGTGAAAAAGTTTTAGTAAGGGGTAAAAAATAAGACAAGAAGCAATATACATAGGGATATTATGCGATTGTATGGAAAAGAAATAAAAAGAACAGCATTTAGGGTTTGGTTGATTTTGATTTGATTTTAATTTAAATTTTGGTTTAATTAACATTTTAATTTAATATTTTGTAAGAAAAAATAGTATATATTTTTATATAAGATCTTTTGAACTTATATTGTTGATTTATATTTGTTTGAAATACAAACCAAACACACCGTTAGTCTTGCAAGTGATTCAATCAATTTTTTATATGATTCTATCAATTTTTATGTAATTTATCAAAATTGTCATAGCGATATGACGCCCACCGAAACGACAAAATAACGAACTCACCCCACATATATAAAACTTATACTATCAAAATAACAAACTCAGCGCACATATATAAAACTTATACTATCATATCTTTTATAGAATTCATGTTGATAATTAATTTTATAATAACGTATCAAGAAAATAAAAAATAACGAACAAATAAATAATTTAAAAATTAAAAATAAATAATGAACAATTATCTAATACATAACACTACAAGAAATTATCAATTTTGTAATGAGATTTTTTCGTTCTTAAATTCACTTTTTCCGTTACTAATGATATTAGAGACGGAATTAGAGATGGAATTACATTAGCTACGTGAACTTTAGAAACGAAATTCCGTTACAAATATACTACTTTTTTTTGTAGTGTATAACATTCTAATAGTATAATAGTGACCATTTGAATTGGTTTAAAAAATAAGCAGAAGCAGAAGTCAAAAGTACAAACAGTTCGATTTTAATTATGTTTGGATAAATAATTATAAAAGCTAAAAAACTATTTCGATATAATAAAGTTGAGAGTGCTTTTAAACTGTTAAAATGTTAAAATAACCAAATAGAACATAGTAATGTAAATAATAGTATATTTTTTATTAAAATTTTCTAATTTATTTAGAATATTATAAATTATATTTAAAAATTTTAAATTATCTAAACTAATTAAAAATATATTTATTAAATTTTATGTAATGATTATATTTTTAATTTTTATTTTTATAAAAAAATAATACTATTTTAAAAATTATTTAATTTTAAAAATTATATTTAAAAATATTAAATATCTACTATATAATTAAAATTTATATTTTAAAATTTTGGTATTTTCAATTATATATTTTAAATTTAATTAAAATAGAAAAATATAAATTACTAATTAAAATACAATTACATTTAAATTTTATATAAATGAATTATTTTTATTTTATTTTATCTTATTTAATTATTATTATTATTATTATTATTATTATTATTATTATTATTATTATTATTATTATTATTGTTGTTGTTGTTGTTGTTGTTGTTGTTGTTGTTGTTGTTGTTGTTGTTGTTGTTAAATTTTTAATTTAGATAATAAAATTGCTTATGTATTATTCAGAAGCACTCCTGATGTGCTTTTCAAAAAAATATTTTTAAAACTCGTGTTTGACAATTAGCTGATAGCTATTAGCTGATTTAATTAACTGGTTTGACTAGCTGATTCGATTAGCTGTTTGTATTAAAATGTTTGGTAAAACAACTGTTTAATATTAGCTGTTTATACGTAAAATGATAATTGATGACATTTCTATTTTAATTTTTTCTAATATATTCAATTGTGTTCTTTTGAGTTTAGAATATTGAAAAATTTTTATTATTAATTATTAAAAATTGTAAAAGTGTTATGAAATATTATTTATTTTTGTTATAGTTAAATTTTAAAAATAATATATTATTATTAAAAAATATAAATAGTTTTTCTATTGAAAATAATATAAAATATAATATAATAATTTTTTTATATTTATTTATTATGTTAATTATAAATTAGTTCATCATATTTATAATTTTCAATAAATTTAATTTATTTAAGGGTGTGTTTGTTTGGGAGATTGGATTAGATTTTTACTATTCATCCCATTTCCCTCCCCTCAAAATATCAAATCAAATACCTATTTTTCATTTTTTATATTATACTAAAAATCAATTTTACATTCAAAACATCGTATCAACACCTATTTATATCACATCATACAACTATTCAAATTCAAAATTTTTACTATTCAAATTCCAACTCAAAATCCAAACTCTCAAACAAACGGACCCTTAATTTTTTTTAAGTATAAAATTTATATAATGTAAATTTAATATAAAAACAAATTATTAATATTTATATTTTTTAATTTTTGTTGATTTTATTAAATTTGTATATTTTACAATTAAAATAATGTATATATAAAAATTATTTATTTTAAATTTGTAAAAGTAAAACTATAATATAATAATATATTCTAATATAATTAATAAATAATCAAAATATATTTATTTATGTAAAATGCATAATAAACTTTTAAGGGCAAATAAGGAATAAAAAATTTTAAACCGAAAATGTTATTTCAAAACGCCGGGTAAGTTAATTTTTCAGAAATTAGCTTTTTAGGTTCAAAAAGCTATTCCGAAAAATTAATTTACCAAACATCTAAATTAATTATTTAATAAACTAAAAGCTCTTAAAAAACTTTTTACCAAACACCCTCAAAATGCTTAGGGTATATTTCTCCAGCCCAATTTTAGGTAGATTTTTCACAGTAAATCTGCCCAAAATTGGACTGTCACGGTTTGAGAAGCAAAGCCTGATGCATTAATTTCTTTTAAATTTTTTGCTTTTTGTTTTTAAATTTAAATTATAAATATAAATTAATTTTTTTATAATAATTATAATTTAATAAAATATTATTTTTTATATTAGAAGATATAAATAGGAGTATTTTTTTCTTAATTTATACATATATTTTGATATAATAATTAATATTAATAAATTAACATGATAAAGTAAATATATTTCAATTTTTTGAAAAGTAATTTATTTATTTATTTTGCTAAAAGTGAAAAAGAATAAGAAACTTTTTTTTGTTTGAATTTTTACCTTTTCCAACGGAAACTATTATGCGTAATTTTAAATAAAATAAGTTATTTCTTTTTTATAAAATATCCAATCAAATCAATATTATACAAATGCAAACTAATTACACAAACTCAAATAAAATAAAATTAAAGAACTGCAAAAACACACCCATTATTGCTAATAAGATCCATTGACCTATGTATAGAGAGAGATTGTCTGATCACGTACGTGTGCATGCAATAGTATATTCGTTTGGGACACGTGTTAATTCCCAAGGCAAAGAAATATGGGACAGCGCCACGTGTTACGTCAAGTCAAGCCGTCAAG